GGGGGGGGATGTATATTTTATTGTGATTACTTGTTAATATTTTAGTGGCCGAAGACAAACGAAAAATATGGCCAAAAAGATACAGATAAATTGATTTATTCATTTATGTGTTAAAAAAATGAGTTTCAAAAATGCTAAAAAGTGACAATTCATTGAGTGGAACCATTGTAAATGAAGCCAGACAAATTAGTTTCAAAATAACATTAGAAATGAGCTTCAATAATTTAAAAAACAAAAAAAAAAAAAAAAAATGAAAAATTGATGTTAAATTGATATAAAAAATAAACAAATATTAGTTGAGGTAATAATATTAAGATAAATAGTAATACGTGTCAAAAATTGTGAGGCCTTTCCATAAATAATAGAGTAATGCTGTATGTACATAATATTGTACATAGGGGAGTACATAACACTCACATTGAGTGGGACCCACCTAAAATAAAAAATTAAATGGACCCCACTACATGTGAGTGTTATGTACAACTCTATGTACATTTATTATGTACACATAGCATTACTCTAAATAATAATAGTGTTGTAGGACCCACATACAACTTTCCAAAAATAGTAAATGAGTTGTCTAATTATATACTCCCTCCTATTTTTATTATTTGTCGTTTTGAGAAGCAACACGCTAATTAAGAATTTTTTTTCTTGCCAATAAACCCTATTTAATGGATGTTATGAGAAACTATGGAGATAAGATGTGAAGAGACACTGTGCATTGATGGAGGGTTAAAAATGAAAAAATATGAACAAAATAATCAAAACGACATTTATTTAATCAATGATCCATTAAGCCAAAATGACAAATAATAAAAATAAGAGAAAGTAGTAGATAAATAGATAGATAATAAAATTGTGTAGTCACAATCACTTATATGTTGTTGTTTCTAGAGTCACGGATATATGTTGTTTGATGATTATTATTTATGATGATAATGATAATAATAAATACAATTCATCGACAACTAATAATTGATATTACATTTAGGAAAATATTTTAAGATCTAATAAATAATATTTCCATCAAAGTCATTTTTAACATCAAACTGCGCAACGGGTGTGAGTACTAGTTTTACAAGATTTGAAACTATTATAACTTCCATTCAGACATATTTTCTCGCGGTATATGCTCTTAATCCTAATCACTTCAATTTAATACAAGAGATCTAGCTAATAGTTAATTGGGGCGATGATGTGATAATATATAAAATAGCCGCCCTCATGGCAATGTTTTTGCAATCAATGCAAACCTTGTAGGTCTTTCTTTCCTGCTGAGTCTGCTCTATAGATTCAAATAATCCAGCAAACTTGATCAGTCTATAGCTGGATCTTTATTCCTCTTGAAAACATTTTCGACATCAGACATAACTTCAGGTGGCAAAGGCCGCTCAGTCGTCAAAAAGGCATCGATATCTTCTTTTAGTTGGTCCATTGTGGTGGCACCTATTATCGAGCTAGTAACAAATGGTCGGTCTCTTGTGAATGCAAGGGCCAACTCAACAAGGCTCATCCCATGTTTCTTTGCCACATCAGCATATTTGGCCGTAACGTCCTGGAATATGAAGAGTTATATAACAAGTGTGAATGAGTATTCAGCCAAATTGAACTAAACTGAACCAAAACGAGGAATACGTAACCCAGAAGAGTTGTATAACAAGTGTGAATATTCAGCCAAATTGAACTAAACCCAGCCAAAACGAGGAATACATAACCAAACCGATATTGATTAGATTCGCATCGTGATTTCCCACAAGATGATCGATTAAAAATAAAAGTGTACGAAACGAAGTTAGTATTAACATAGAAATAGAAAATTGTCTTTCAATCTAGGATACGGCTAAAATCAAACAGGATCTAATAGCCTAATTGAACTGATAAAACCTAGTTCCGAAAACAATATTAAAAAATTGAACTGTTTTTTCTTTTTCTTTTTCTTTTTTTGTAGTTTTCTATGAACAAGTTTCATGCACAATAGGAAGAAAATAAGTCACAAACTGTCCAAAAGGTACAAAATGAGAACCAGAAGCTCACTACTATTAGGGAACATGTTTATATAATATTAGACAATAAGTTTTTTATTGAACAAAATTCAAAAGTATTGAGGCAATAAGTTTAATTAGAAGTGGAGTGGTAAGACATACTTTGGCCATAGACTTATTGTATCTTTCCATGTAGCCAGGAAATAAGTTGAGCCTCCCTCTTTTTGCAGCTTCAGAATGAATATCTAAATATTTACCAGACAATGCTCCGCCCGCTAGAGGAGAATAAGCGAGCAACCCAATGTTGCAATTGTTAGGATGGCATACTTCAGCAAGATCAACTGCAAGGTATATCAATTAAAAACTATTAGTCTGCTTTGGAACAAAGTATCCATCCATGCCCCAACATGTCACACCCTCCGGCTTTAGTTTGTCATGAGCAAATCCAAAAAATTAAAAGGATACAGTATTCTACCTCTCAGATTGTACATCATAACTTCACTCATTTAAGTTTCCTGTTTAAAGAAGTGTATAACTAACAATTACAAAACTATATTTGAATCTTTCAATTTACATTGTAGTTTCGGTCTCCCTATGCAGCTAAAACAAATCGCTAAAAACTTGTTACATAGATTGGAAAACCATGCAAATGGTAGTAACTAGCTACCTGTTCCTTTAATGACAAAGATAAAATTGAATATTAGGGCAAAAACCGAGAACGGAAAAGTGAAATGTGGACACAAGTTATTGTCAAGAACGGTTTTTCTACAACTAACATGTACACACCATATGAACTTAGATTTATACCTATACAAACCAGCAAAATGTAGAGAACTCCGTGCAGATACCGTAGTGTGCTTCAAGGGCATTGTCATTTTATGTATATTTAATATATGAATAGTACGACATCCGTATACTACACGGGTGGTTGAAAAAAATATTTGTATAATAAAAATGAATATATAAAAGTATTTATGTTCTTATTATGAAACCATAAATGTAATGTACGACAAGTAATGAATAACTAACCAAGAGAGTGATAACTATTGAAAAATTAATCATATTTTTACCATCAATTTGTTAATTTTAATAACATTTATAAATTATATATGTCTAAACAAATATTATTTACCACTCTACTAATTTGATTTTGAATTTTTAAAATTCTTTCCAACCATAACTATATTATAATTATGGTGTGCATTAGTTGAGTTGCCCTCATAAGTATTGAAAAAAGTTAAAATACAAAATAACCACTTATAATTGTAATATTTGTTTATGTTAATCTGGCTATTTTTATATATTTTCAAAGTGAGTTTAAAAATCGCATAAATAATAAAAAATTATAATATAGTAATATTAATCATTTTTCATTTCATAAGTCCTAATGTTGAACAGAATGTTAATTTAGTACATTATATATTCGAATAGCTTACAACATATGTATGTATACATATACTTTCACCATTTTTAAATAAAATATTGCATACTGCTGGTAAATGTTTTCAATTAATTAAATATACTTTTTGAATATATCATGTATTTTATAATATGGGTCGTGTATTTTACTATCTTTTGCAAATGAGAATAATAAGTTTTATATCAGATAAATTGATAAGTTTTAGATTAGATTCTATAATTTTAAAATTGTTGTGAGTGCGTATTTAGAAAGTCATAAACTATATACCTATCATAATTTTAAGTGTTTATAATTTAAAAGATCTTAACATACATGAATCCTCCCTATATATAATTCCCGAATGCGCTGAGCCTACGTGGCTGCTTCTGGTGCTTCGGAATCCTACTTGGCGAAGAATCATGCTTCCTAATTAGGTTTGTACAAATAATATTGATATATTAATAATTAATAATCTAGGTTCGGACATTCTATAAATATTATTTATCTAACTTAGGTATTTTAATATCAATTGTACTAATATAACCCTTTAATTATTTGTAATTTTACATAGTGAGACACTAAGTGACTAATATATCCCTAACTTTGATTTGTTTCCTTCAATTAGCTATTGAATTGTAAATGTATTTTAAAAGTTGATAACTTTTGTATTTCTTATCGTTTTACATATAATATATATCAAATTAATCATCTTTTGATAATCTTCGATTTGACATTCATATTGTATATATGAAATAAATAAATTATATTTATCTTTATAGTAATAAAAAATAAAAATATTTATTAAAATTCATTAGAAAAATAAATTATTTATCAATTGATATATTTATTTTTAATGTAGTTATATGTTGTAAGTTAAAAAATTATTATAATATAACACAGGTAAGTCGCACAAATAAAAAGTGTCATACTAAATATATAATAATATATATTTTTGTAAAAGGTATTTAAATTTTTAACTACTTTTTCTCATTAATTTTAAATTTTAAGAAAATAATTAGCAAGCACCCGTGTAATACACGTGTGTTGTACTAGTATTCCAATATACTCGAATAATAGATTATTGACACATAAACTTTGGCATCTGTAGACATCGAAATTAATTAATGTCTTTATTTATTTTTGGACATAAATCCAAAATAAATAAGTTATTTAATTAATAAAGTTATTATTTCTTGCCCACCAAGTCAAATCTTAGGATAAAGAAAGAGATTATATCAAATCTTAGGAGAGGGAAAGAGATTATGTCAAATCATGAAGGACCAATCAAATTGAAGTCTTCTTCTCCAAGACTCTCTCCCCTAAACCTATAAATAGGGTTCTCCTCAACACCTCAAACACCTAAAAAATATCAAACACATCTAAAAAATTAAAGTCTCAAATTCAAGGGCTCTCAAGAACCCTCTTGAAGATTTGAAGAAGTTCCCGAAGTCCATTCAATGAAGAAGACGGCCAAGAAGAAGAAAAAGAGGAGGCGACCCTTCCCCAAGAAGTAAAGAGACGACTTCCACTTCTCTCAAGTCAATCCAAGAATATCAACGACGTTCAAGCGACTTTCTAGCCCCATTCGTTGAGAAGTTCAACCAACATAGCGTTTGATTCGAGAAAAAACTATTAAGCCCTCGAGTCAACATTATTCAAGTCAAAGTACCTCTTTCCAGAAGATAAAAAAAAAAAACAAGTTCTCCAAGAAGTTGTCTTCAATCAAGTCAAGGCCTAACATTTAATACGGGAATAAGTCATTCGACCCCCAAATTAATGTTACAGAAATTCAATCTCAAGCATGAATGAGATTCAACCATCAAATCTATCTTTCAAGGTCTCAAACCCAATTCCATGAATAGAAGAATCAGAGGAGATAAATAGAGATTGTACCCCGCATATCGTTTGATCGAAATATAAATCAAGTTGTACAAAAGTTTTATGTTTTTCATAAAATTTGTTATTACAAATTTCTGGCACGCCCAGTGGGACATTCTCTACCTCTCATCTCTTCTCTTTAAATCATGTTCGAAAATCTTTGAAGATGCATGAAGACCTCTTTGAAAAAATTGTACAAGGGGGACAACTAAGGATGATGTCTCATCAAGCCGTGAAGTCTTCAGCCGAATGGAGGAGAAACAAAACTGGTCTACCATATTCTTTTCAACTTCCATGGGGGGCAATTTACATGAAGAGCTCCATTACATAGTCAAATGCTCCTTGATATGAGCCTAAACTATCTAAATATTCAAATGCTCCTTGATATGAACCTAAACTATCTACATATTCAAATGCTCCTTGATATGAGCTTAAGCTATCTACATATGCTCTTTGATATGAGCTTAAACTATCTTATGGCTCCTTGATACGAGCATAAAATGTCTTCATATCAAGATCCCCTTGACACGAGAATAAAAAATCTATATATCAATCTTGAAGGCTCCTTGACACGAGCATAAAATGTCTACATATTCAGATACTCCTTAACACGAGTTTAAACTATCTACAAATCAATCTTGAAGGCTCCTTCACACGAGCATAAAATGCCTACATATCAAGATCTCATTGACACGAGAATAAAAGGTCTACATGTCAAGAACTCCTTGATACGAGTATAAACTATCTACAAATCAAGTCAAATGAAGAACTCTTTGACACGAGTTTAAACTATCTACAAATCAAGTCAAATGAAGAACTCCTTGATAAGAGTTTAAACTATCTGCATGTCCAATCCAAATTCATAATTTTGAGACTCTTTCACTACCAAGACACTTTGTCCGTGAACAAGTCTCAAGGGGGCATTTGTAGAAATCGAAATTTTAATATTTTATTAATTAATGTCTTTATTTATTTTTTGACATAAATCCAAAATAAATAAGATATTTAATTAATAAAGTTATTATTTCTTGCCCACCAAGTCAAATCTTAGGATAAAGAAAGAGATTATATCAAATTTTAGGAGAGGGAAAGAGATTATGTCAAATCATGAAGGACCAATCAAATTGAAATCTTCTTCTCCAAGACTCTCTCTCCTACACTTATAAATAGGGTTCTCCTCAACACCTCAAACACCTAAAAAATATCAAACACATCTCAAAGATTAAAGTCTCAAATTCAAGGGCTCTCAAGAATCCTCTTGAAGATTTGAAGAAGTTCTTGAAGAACCGCCCGAAGTCCATTCAATGAAGAAAAAGGCCAAGAAGAAGAAAAAGAGGAGGCGACTCTTCCCCAAGAAGTAAAGAGACGACTTCCACTCCTCTCAAGTCAATCCAAGAATATCAACGACGTTCAAGCGACATTCTAGCCCTGTTCGTTGAGAAGTTCAACCAACATAACGTTTGATTCGAGAAAAAGCTATTAAGCCCTCGAGTCAACATTATTCAAGTCAAAGTCCCTCTTTCCAGAAGATCAAAGAAATAAGTTCTCCAAAAAGTTGTCTTCAATCAAGTCAAGGCCTAACATTTAATAAGGGAATAAGTCATTCGACTTCCAAATTAATGTTAGAGAAATTCAATCTCAAGCATGAATGAGATTCAACCGTCAAATCTATCTTTCATGGTCTCAAACCCAATTCCATGAATAGAAGAATCGGAGGAGATAAATAGAGATTGTACCCGCATATCGTTTGATCGAAATATAAATCAAGTTGTACAAAAGTTTTATGTTTTTCATAAAATTTGTTGTTACAGCATCATAAAACTCTAACTTAAGTGTTGTATAATTTATAAAATAATAAATTACATAGATATCCTACTTTCGGTAGAGAACATATAATAAATAACATCATAATAGTACTTGGAATCAAGAAACCCTATATTTATGTACGTGATTCAATTTACAACTGAATAATTTCGTCACAAAATCACTATTATTGTTGCATAATAGTTGGGATACATTGAAGGACTTGCACATGGTCTTTATCAACCTTGAGAAGGCTTATGACAGAGTATCGAGGAATGTCATGTGGTGGGCCTTAGAAAAGCATAAAGCCCCATCTAAGTACATTACCCTCATCAAGGATATGTACAAGAATGCAATGACGTGTGTCCGAACATGTGGGGGTGATACCAGCGACTTCCCAATTAAAATAGGACTACACCAGGGGTCAGCATTGAGCCCTTATTTATTTGCCTTGGTGATGGATGAGGCCACAAGGGACATACAAGGTGATATCCCTTGGTGTATGCTCTTTGCTGATGATGTGGTGCTAGTTGACGAGAGTAGGGCATGAGTAAATAGGAAGCTAGAGCTGTGGAAGGACGCGTTAGAGTCGAAAGGCTTCAGACTTAGTAGGACGAAGACCGAGTACATGACGTGCGCTTTCAGCATGGCTACTCATGATGAAGGTGACGTTAGCCTCGACAGGCAAGTGGTGGCCAAGAAGGAGACTTTTCGGTATTTGGGATCGATGCTACAAAAGGATGGCAGCATTGATGAAGATGTTAGGCATAGAACTGCAGCCGGGTGGTTGAAATGGCATCAAGCTTCGGGCGTTCTCTATGATAAGAGGGTGCCTCAAAAGCTAAAAGGTAAGTTCTATAGGACGGCGATTCGCCCAGCGATGCAATACGGTGCTGAATCTTGGCCTACAAAAAGACAACATGTCCAACAACTAAGTGTAGCTGAGATGCGTATGCTGCGTTGGATTTATGGGCACACAAGAAGGGATAGAATCCGGAATGAGTATATTTGAGATAAGGTCGGGGTGGCTCCAATTGAGGAGAAGTTGGTTCAACATCGGCTGAGGTGGTTCGGACATGTCCAACGGAGGCCTCCTGATGCACCGGTGCGTAGAGGAATTCTACAGCGGATCGATGATGTTAAGAGAGGTAGAGGTCGACCTAAACTCACTTGGGAAGAGTCAGTTCAGAGAGACCTTAAAAATTGGAATATCTCCAAGGATTTAGCGGTGGATAGGAGCGCTTGGAGACTAGCGATCAACAGGCAAGAACCGTGACTTTTGCTCCTTTCTCTTTTGCTCCAATCTCTCTCTTTTGTTATGTTTTGTTTTGAGTTTGTTTTGTTTTGTTTTGTTTTGTTTTTTGTTTATGAACCCTTTTTGTGTTTTTCCTACCACTGTTTCTCTCTTGTGTTTCATCTCTAGCCTACCCCAACTTGTTTGGGATTAAAAGGTTTTTTTGTTGTTGTTGTTGTTGTTGTTGTTGTAATAGTTGGGTTACATTTTAATTAGTATGAGTTGTAGGGTTTATAGTTATAGATATCCTTTTAAATATCAGATAAAATATTAAATAAGTAACACAATAAAATAAGTCTTACTTATATATTTAATTTTTGACATAATAATATTTAAGTGGAGAGATAAATTTTAGAGTTTCTTATATTCATTCTATATTTATACTTAGTCTCTGCATTTTTTTTTTCAAAACTATTTAAAATAAAATAAAAACATATATTTATTTTATATTCATCTACATAGTTTTTATTTTATAAGTGAATGTGTAGTTCTACTTGTATTTTTTATAATTTGATTTGATAAATAAATTTAAAATTGCTTTATAATTATTGATAAAATTGATGTTAAATTTGTATATGTGATATACAAATATCAAATTGAAGATCGTCAAAAGATATTAATCGATATATTATATCCAAAAGGCGGAATTAAAAAAAAGTTATTAACTTTTAAAGTATAACTACAAAATAAATTTATGGTATTTAATAAATGAAATAAATGAGAATAAATAATATCAATTTTGTAAGATAAAATTTTATTTGGGAAAACCATTTATTAGGAAACAAGGACAAAAATAAATGCATAAATTTGCAAATAAATATTTATGCCAAATATCAAACGTGATTTCAAAGCAATAATGTATATACAAACGAAAATTACGAATCATAGACTTTTGTTATATCCGCATCTGAAGCGTGCAAGCTTTCCAATTAGGCAGCACTCTTGTATTAACATAAAGGGGGATATTCCCATTATGCAATCTTTGTTCAATTTAAGCTCAAATTCATATGAAGGATAGAGTGAGTAACACTTTGGATTAGAAAACTAGGTGAAAATGATGACTATTATTTAGATAACTAACACCTAAACCTAGCATCTAATCATAAATTCTTCACCTTGTAGTAAAGCTTTGAATTATCTTTGGTTTTATGTAAGTTTGTTCGACTTATATAAAAGATACAAAGGTAATCGGGTTTAAATTTGAGTTTCTTCCTATTAGCAATGAATATTCTTTGTTTTTAATAATGCAAACTTAGAAAGAGTCACAGAGTGATAAAAATAAGAAATGTAATCCTTGTCAGTAGGAACACGACTTACGACTTACGTTCAAACTTGCACCTAACTAGCATACTGTAGTTGTTCTGGATACTGACTATTTTTGGTAACCCTTCCACTTTAGCTGCATGTACGAACTCCATCACCCCATAGGATGTTTCATTGGAAACACCAATGTACCTCACCTGTGTAACTTGGATCATCGTCATCAAACTTGTAGTGATAATAGGCTTACCATAATAGTTGGCTACAAATAAATGATTGAAGTGTCGTATTAAAATAGCTTGACGCATTTTATTTTCAGTTGTCGAGAGAAATAAGCTGGGTCAAACAAGATATGTTCATCTCAATCCTTTCTCTTTGAAATGGAAATCAATAAGATTAGCATTTGGTGCACAGTACAAGTTGTCCTGAAAATGCTGATTCTACTAACAAGTTACAATTTGAAGCTAAATTTACTCAGGCAACTTTACCAGATCTGGAATCCATGAACCTCCCGATATGAAAACAAGATAACAATACCTCATTGATATCTATAGCCGAAGTCAGAATAATTACTAAAGAATTTCAACATGAACTTCTAGGAACCACTTGGCAGGATAACTAACAAGTCTACCTCATGATCATCTTAATAAGTTATATTACAAAATCCTTTTTTAACATACGCAGTGTCCTTTTAACTTAAGTTTGTGAGCTGCAACTGATACTAATGGAAAAGCAAATGCTGCAAAGGATTTCCAAAACAAGGACGAATATGTACCTTTCCTTGATCAATCAGTTCTTGAAATCCCCTCAGCTGCTCAGCCACGGGCACGCTTGACCTCCAATTTGAAGTATTATAAATGTATTCTCCAAAGAGCGGAACATAACGATCTGGCCTGATAATTATTAAGCAGAAATTTTGTGAAGAAATGTAAAGATAGACATTGTTGAGTCAGTCTTGTCATTTTTGTTCAAGATAAATAATAAAAGTAATCATTCAATGTTATGTTAATTTTTCTTTCAGTTATCAATAGAAGTAAAGAACTTCCATCAAGAGGAAAAGTTTGTAGGACTCAACAAGTTGAGATATAGAAACTAAAAATACGTCACGAACAGGTCCCAATGAGGAAAAGGAAATTGCAGACTTAAAATGAGTCAGTTTATCTTTTAATCTATTCACTAGTAGATAATTTAAGATTCATTGTGAAAGTGTGCTAAATTTTTCAAATATTCTCAAGATTTTGAAACTTAATCCTCAACTACTACTCCAGCTATCATTTTCATCTGAAATGTCACTAAATGATTGCTTTTTATTTCAAAACCTTTTTATAAGTATCTTATCTACACTAGGAGACTTTTTTATATTACATATGAAAGAACGTGAGGAAACAAATCACTGATTCACTATGACCAATTCCATCAATGTTATCAGTTTAATAGTCTAAAATCAACATTCATATTACTGATTCATAATAAATATATATAATATAATACATCAAGAAATGCTCCAATCAATCAAATAACCAATTCCAGCAGTAGATCACTTAGCCACATGAAGAAGAAGAAGTACTGAAAAAGGCAGAAAGAAGTTTACCAGTGTATTTGGAGTAAGTCAATGTAATCTGTATTAAGCCGTTTAAGACTTTTCTCCACACTTTCCCTGATATTAGCTGCATCGACCCTCACAACTTTCGCGTTGTCACGTATATAAGTTGATCTCTCTGAGTAACCAGCCACTTTTGTGGCCAAAATAACCTAATAATTGAAAATAGTTGTTTTATATCACAACTAGTTACATTATGCAGCTTTTAGCAGTTGTACACCCACAAAATCTCTGTAATTATTCAAGAAAAAATAATCAGAACATTTGGAGCTCAAGCATCTTGGAGACAAGCTTGGGATTGGAATATTAGATGCATTACAAGTTAGCTCAAAATGCTTATCAAGCTTTGAACTATCGGAATATCACTTGTCAGTTGTCCCACATATTGATTCTATAGGGTAAATGGGCCTTAGTTTATAAGCATATTGGGCTACTCCACCAATCACCAATTGGTTTTGGGATGGAACCTCACTTAGGTGCCCCTAAGTTCACCCTCTTATCGAGCGCTTCGGCTCTATGGGACCACACCCATTCCCCTTGAATCTTTAACTCTAACATGAACAACCTAGAGTTCAGCCTTGTCTGCTGATTTACACCCATGATGGCATGAAACTCAAATTTTACTAGGTGAAAAATTTTAAAATGAAGGGAAATTCCATTTGGGAAAACAAGTACAGACATATATTCCTTTAGTTCCATATAAACGTCCTAAGTTGCATGTATTAATCTTGAATGTATTAAACGATGATGTGATTATGCTGGAACCATTTACTAACAAAAGACCGCAGAGATAGTCAATACCATATCATTTGAGAGAGTGCAACATTCGAGAACTGCGAAATCCTTGAATTATATAATGAGTAGCAAAACTATGAGGTTTATGAAAGATTCTCCAACTTAACACCTAACAGATATATCACATGCAGGTCAATGCATTTCAGATAAGACATACAGTTGATTATACAAAATGAAACTTAGGTCATCAAACAACACTAACTTGTATAACAGTGCAAACATACAAAACAGAAGCAGATAACAGAAATTATACAGAGAATTTATCCAGGTAATTAACAGAAATATGAAAGTCACAGGTAGATAATTAAATAATTTCTAGTTACCTTATCACGGGCTTGAGACTTCAGCCACCTTCCAATATAAAGGTCAGTCCGTCCTTGCGTCTCCTTTTTTAATGGGATAGGATACTTCAAGAGAAAAAAAAAATAGAAGACAGGGGAATCTCATCATGAACCAATAGTAGTGGAACCAAACACAAATGGGACGATAACCTAGTACCAAGCATTCAAAAGAAAGCTTAATTCTATCTGTAATTCACCTAAAACTGATTGCTGACAGAACATCGAAAAACTATTACTCTAATAGAGTCTTTAATTCAAGCAACAAAAACTAGAATCATATACGGAAATTTTGTTACAGAATATTGAACTTACAGAAGGATATATGGAAGAAAGTCACCCAAGAACAAAATGTAATGGCCAAGTTTAGTAATAAGCGTTTTGGGGCCAAATGAGAGGTTTGAAGGTGAAAGCGGTTTGACAAGCCATAATGTCTACTATTGTTTGGTAAGTAGCAGTTTGTAATAGATTCTTGGGTCCAAAGAGCTACTTTCAAAAAAGCTCACTAAAGGAACTCTTTGGAATAGAGGTTTGCAGTAATAGTTATATTTACATATCAAACAACTAAGGGGGCGATTGGATATAGTTTGAACAGTAAAAAAAAAAATCAAAACACAAATTTAACTCAACTTTAACTCAACTCCACTATCTATAATATTATCAACACAATTAAATAATATCAACCAATAATTTTACACATCACATCAACTTTAATTCACTATTCATCTACTCACATAATTTTAACTAACCATCACTTCCAATCATTTTTCTCTTACTTTACATCAAATCAACTAATTATTTTATTTAAATATTATTTTAATATATTCACTAACAACTAACCATACCACCTTTTTAAAAAATTAACTATAGTAAACAAACAAACCAAATAAAAACTAGTTGAATCCATAAACAATCACTCCCTAATTATTTACTAAACACTTCTGCATAATCTTGCTAATTCAATCAATTATCCACATTTGCTAATCCAAATGGCTATAGCTATCAGTTATCCACTAAGGCCTCGTTTACATACCAGGATAACATTCCTTAACCAACTTTATCCGGTGTTTATTAGCAGGGATCGGGTTTGGATAAATCTACGTGGCAGGTGGGCACACGCCTGTACCCATGACTAGCAAGATAATTTTATCACATCTTATGGGGTGGATATTTTTATCCCGAGACAAAATGACTTTTTTGTTCAAAAAAAAAAAAAACACACACATGTATAATGTTCATTATACCATTGAATGTCCACATAATTAAAAATTTAGTAAAGCTGACTCATGGGGCAAAAGCTGAGACTAAACCATCCTATCCCATCTTATTTCATCCCTTCAGTTAAATTAGACCTAAATGCCAAACAAGGCAAATGCCTTGAAATATATGTGTGCCTACAGCTTAATGTGAACTCTCAACATCCACATTCCACATGTGAACAACTGAGGACTAATAGACACACACACACACACATACAACAATAAGGTCAAAATAGAGCCTGGTTGGATATAAAAATTCGGATATGGCAGACCACATAATTTTTTATTCAAAATCCAACTCAAATTTAACTCCAACTCTTCATATTATCAATATAATTAAGTAATATCAATCAATCATCCTCACACATCACATCAACTTTAATTCATTATTCATTCACTTACATAATTTTAATTACTCGTCACTTTCAATCACATCTCTCCTACTTTTACATCATATCTACTTTAATCATTGTATTTAAGTATTATTTAAATACAAACTAAAAAATTCATTCAAGCCAAACTTATTTCACAATTAACTCACTTTATCCAATAAATTCAATCAAATCAAAAATAACTTATATCCAGTCACACCCTTAGTACACCTACACCCTTAGTACACCTAGTGACCTGAAAATGACCACCAAATTCCTTAATTTCAACTGCCAAACTAAATGCACATATAGCAATATTAAATTCTTTGAAAAAAGGAGGAACGTCTACACCATATTTGAGTTGCCTAGCACCTAATGAAACTGAGCCAAATAACGTCATAGTTTGAGTTCGAATTATGAATAAGCGCTCCAAGCAAAAATATTGCATTTAAATCAAGAAAATGCAGCGACAAATTATGACGGACTTATGATAAAATCCAATTCTAAGATCATTCTATGCAACCAAAGATAGCAATATTTATGTAATTTGACCACAGTATATCAAAATTAGTGTTTAAACCAGGTTATTAACTGGTAAAAGCTCCCGTCCAAGTGACTTATAAGGCCATGTGCCATATATAGTGCAAATGTGCAATAGCCTAAGGTTGTGTTTCGTAAGCATATAAGCTAGATTATAACTTATTTTATTAGCTTATAAGTTTCATGTATTACTTAACTCATAAGCTTTCTTGGGTAACTTTTCAAATAAGCCCATTGAAATTTTTTATTTCAACTAACTTATCAAGTATATTTACCAAACACTTTTATCATATGAGCTAAATTTTCAGTCATAAGTCATAAGCTATCAGCTATAAGCTCGAAATTCGGTAGCTTATCAGCTAGGTTTACCAAACAAAACTTAAGTTAGCACAAAAAAGTGAAAATATTTCAAATATTGAATTATGTACTCTCCCATACATGGATGGGAATCATAACGGGATCTCCACATCCAAAACCCCATTTTTATTTTTTTAACTTTTTTTTTTTTTATATTTAGATCAACTATTTCCATCCAAACTTCAGACTGATTAATTTCAAACATCAATGCTTGAGGGTTAGGGGGCCTTACAACTTCTGCAGTGTCTAAAGCATTAATTCCACGCTCAAAAGAGTAACTAAGTTGTTCGTGGGCCTCTTTCTCTGTGTTTTGCTCCCCGAATGTCATCTGCAATAGCATAGAAATAGTTTCATCACTAAATATATACTTTTACCTCTTCACAATCCATTTCATAAGACCCGATCACATATCCTGTAAACGAAACATTCTCTAGTTATATAATTCATCAGAAGATCTCCAAAATGAAATTTCAAGTCTTTCGCAAAGCCTTTCTCCTCTGCATATGCGCCAGGATGTCTTTATGCTTTCACAATACTCTATGTTGTTATTAGATATACAATTCACAAAAAAATGCTTCGAGATTTTAGTGCAGAAATTCTTCATCCTAATGCAATTTCATATGATTTTATCATATAGTGATTTTTACAATTCAAGAAAATGCGCTTTCCTCGCCAATTTCAATCTAAACTCAAAATTCCATACAATGTTGTGCTGAAAACACCAAACCCATACCAAATTCAGCGACCGAACACTTGGCCGTTAAAAGTACTTGAGAGAAGCGTTTTATTTCAACAATGAAAATCGCTTGAATACGCAGGTTAAAACAAGCATGTAGCTGAAACCGAATCAAAACTAAGAAGGCTTACAGTGCCAAGAGTGATTTCACTAATGACGAGGTCGGAGTCACCGAGTTTCTTGTACTGCAACGCGTTTTCTTGCCGACTTTTGCTGAAAACGACGAAGCTGTCATTCTTCTTGACCTTCCGCTTCCAACGAAACGCGGCGTATCTCCCACCCTCCGCCGGTGGCGCTAAGAGGCGCGTGAAGTGACGATGAGGTAAAATGCGAGTGGAGCTTCTACTGTCGCAGGAGAATGTGGGGACCGCAACAGAGCACGAAGAAGACGCCATGGAATTGTTTACTCAGAATCCCTTTGAACCTTTACTATTCACATGGTTTGGAGATGACGCCCAAATCGGTGGCAGTCAATTGGGTTTGGGTGGCATCAAATGCACCACATTTCATGTTGACTTGGATAGAAGGGCTTGTTTGGAAACACAAGATATTTCAAGATGAACTTTTTGAAAGGTGACTCTTCAAAATGTGTCTAAAATAAACTTTTTTGAAATTGACATTTTGTGGGAGTTTTTTTTTTTCGAATCATCCAAATTTAAATGTTTACCTTAATAAAATTAGCTCGTGCATCGTACATTTTGTGGGAGTTACTTTGATTAACGTATACCATCAGTAATTTAATTAATCAATAAACGTTATATCTTAAATATAAGGAGGTAAATTGAACAATTAGTCTGAAGACGAAATAATTATAATTCGGAGCTAAATAGGGAGATCAATAATATTACTCTAGTGAAATGTTTTATTATTTATTCAAATAAGGAATAAGAATTAAAATGTCTTCTAGAATGTTACCAAGTTGGAAGACATAAATGTCTCCTCGAGGTTAACTAAGTTCAAAGGCATTAGGACTTGCAGAGGTTAATGAGTTGGAAGATGTAAGGTTTTATAATCCAATTTGGAGAAGCCCACATTTAACACCTTCTTAATATCTTAATTGTAGCCTATAAATACACCAAGTCCGCTAACCTCCAAGATGATGTGTCACACGCCCAAAATCAAATGTCCCACGTCCAAAATTGTATACACGCACAAAATACATCGAAACAAGAGTTCTTCTCCTTGGAAAATTCGAATAAAATTGAAAAGTCTTAGGAGAAGAAATCGAAAGGCTTTGGAAGTTCCAATTAGTCGCTCCACCAACATTGATTGGAGATTGTTGTAGCAAATTATTTTTATATTTACCGAGAACCGAATCAAAAGATTCGTTCCCCGGGTCGATCTCTCAAGGAAGACGGTTCGGAATTTAGAAGTGGTGTTGATAACACATAAACGAAAAATAAATCTTAAACACTCTAATCAAGATGGTTGGTTAAATTATCAACTACGAATGAAAATTCAAACAATGCAAAATGAAATCAAAAGACAAAGACGAAAAACAAATAATGATAAGAAGCTAAGGAGCCGGGGATGATGATTTTCTAATCAATGCAAATATCAAGCTAAGATCATTTAGTTAAGTGAATTGAACAACCTAACGTGTAGAAATTTGTCATCAATCGTAAATCAAACAAATCACGCAACACATAGACAATTCGTTTCCGAACAAGTCTATTTCATGCGAGCCTAAATCGATCAACTCCTCCCCTTTCGGTTCTAAAAGTTGATTAATTATTCTAGACGATTGTTAATCTGCTAGTTCGTTGGATTTAAGCAAATCACACAAGAACGAATCATATTCAATTGGAATCAATTACAAATCAAAGTGTCACTCTTCGACAATAATCAACATTCAATGCACGAGAATTATAAACCCTAGTTAAGCACAACTCGCATAAATTGAACAATCAACAAGAATGATAATCACAATCAAAATCTAAACATCATCATCATCCTCTATCCCTAGCGAATGAATTAGTTACTCATTATGAAATTCAACACAATCCATCTCAATAACCCAAGCATTCATATTCAAGGATTAATTGAAAAGGAAAACTTACGATTAATAGAGAATCAAGAGTCGAATTCAATGAACAACTTAATCTGAAATAATTAAAGAAGAAAAGCAATCAAAACAATGATCAAATCTGAGTTTTTAGAGTAGGAGAAAGTGAAAAAAAAAACAATATTGAGGGTTGTTTCCACGAGTCTAAGGATCATTTTGATATATAGTACGCGAAAAACGGAGCTAAAACGAGTAAAAACGAGCAAAATAAAAAACAGGGGCGAAACAATCGCGACTCGCGAGTTGACTCGCGAGTCGCGAGAAAAACATAGACCGATGGCATATAAACGTGGGGAACCTCGCGACTCGTGACAGTTTCGTAAGTCGCGACCTCTCATGTCGCGAGTCGCGACTTTGCTCTTGCGAATCGCGACTTTGGACTGCACTGCACCACTTTACGTTTTGGCCTCGTTTGAGCTTGTTCGAACTCAGAATTGAGTGTTGTTTTTTCCTACACGTCGCCAACAAACCCCTCTATTCAACTATGATCACAAAAGAAATTTTTCTTGAAAAGAAAATCTGCCTGAAGCTCCCAACCTACACACCAAAAACGACAAAACACAAAAGAAAACCAGAAAAACAAGCGAAAAACACCTAAAGACTCAAAATCAGGGACGGATGCACATACATGAGTGGGGGGCCATGGTCCCCCCCAATTTTTTTTATTTTTTTTAGTACTATGTATATAGTATAGTATTATGTATATTTAATTATTTTGCCTCCCTTAAAATATAAATGAAACTAAATGATATAAAAAAAAAATTAGAAACACAGTCACAATTCCCGGGGCACGATTCCACTTACCTTACTTTTCCTTTAAAGCATATATAATATGTAATATAATAAATTAACTTAGTTTATTATTTTTCAAACTATTAAAGAAATAATTAATGTAAATCAAAAAAGTTGGGAATCGGGATTCTCGGCCACTAAACATTTGAGAAAAACTTGAGAGCAGAAGAGGACGAATCGACGAGAG